GTCTCTGATCCTTGTTGGGAGTTAGCTTCTCATTTATGTATTTGCACTTTCACAAGTCACTAAGTTTAAATGTTTAAACATTTCCCCTCTTCAGTAGCCAAAGAGAAAACAAAGCAGCAGCTAATGTGGTAATAAATTTATCTTTAGCTACAGGAGATAAGCTTCAATGCAATATGGTCATAAAGTATGGCTCCCAGGCTTCGGGGAGAAGGAATCAACTTTCATAAATAAAAGAGTTTTAAAATACTCCCAGCAATAAATAAGGATAAAATATGTCTTGTAACTTGCAGCACTCGGCCAACAACAGAGTAACTTACAAAAGAAAACTACAAAATAAGCAAGCGTTTGCAGCTTTGCTGTCGTTACCTCACACCCACAGTGGGCTGATGAGCGTTCACTGCGGGGAGTGTTTCACTCACCTCTGGAAATGTTCGCTCTCTGATACCTCCTGACGCCTCTTGATTTGCTGAAGATCTGTGACCTTCCCCCAGGAAACCCAGGGTTACTGATGCCACAAATAAGAGAGTTTTCAACAAATCTTAAGGTGTTGAGAATACCTGAGAAAGCGGGGAGAGCAGGACCGGCGTGTGCATGTGTTGGTGGCTAATGAGGGCGTTCACAGCGCTGGGCTTTACTTGGCTTTTGGCCTTGCTTCGTAGCAGATCCTTAATGAAACTCAAAGTCTTCCTAGAGTCCTTCTCAGCTTTCCTGTCATGTTTTCAGCTCAGAAGTCACTTGGGCAAGAACTTAAAAAAATAATAATGTACAGGGACAGTGTAGTGAGCACTGCCTTTATTTGAAAGACTTTAAGGAATAGATAATTTCTTTGTGATCACAGGCACTGTGTTACTGGGAAGATTAGTGTTGGTCTCTTCACTCGAGGAAATGAGGATCTTGCTAGCAGTAGCCAGAGTTATGCTCAGTAGGATGCAGCCAGCCTGGGAGCATCATGGGACAGCCTCCCCCCAGGTCATTCCACAGAAGGGGAAATGCAGGAGTCAAGGTTGTAGAGAGAGCTGTGAAAGACATCTAGGTGGGCTTAGAGTGTGCATAGCCTTCAGTGCCATTTTAAGGAGTCGTTTTTGTTTTACTAGTACATGTTTGTTGTACACAGTGTTTCCGCTCATCTCCAGGAAGAGGTCCAGGCATTTAACATACATTGATTCTTTTTGTCCCTCTTCTCTCCCCATCCACCTCCCTCCACCTCCCTCTCTAGGTCCTCTTTCCCCATTTTCATGACTACTGTTACTGTATTTTCGGTTCATCTTTATGACATAAAGCGATTACATTCGTTGTTGTAATTGGTTCATGTGCATGGCATAGAAATCTTGTTACATCATTTCCCCACCAACCCTCTGTCTCTTGTCCCTTTCCCATTTGAAAAAGATCTATTTCCTTTAATCAGCCTTTTATTTTGCTGTTTATTTGTACTTTGGATTACTCAAATGAGAGAAACCATACCGTATTTAAGCTTGTGCGTCTGATTTATTTCACGTAACATTGTTTTCAAGATACTGTATATCCATTTTTCAACAGATATCTCAAATTTATCCTTCTTTATAGCCAAATAATATTCCATTATATATAGATACTGCATTTTCTTTATCCATTCATCTGTTGATGGATATATAAGCAGCTTCCAAGGTTATGCATTGTGCTATTATCAATATGGGTATACAGGTATCACCGTAATGTAATGTCTTTAGCTCTCAGGAAGATGTCTAGAAGGGGAATAGCTGAGTCAAATGAAATTTCTAGTTTTACTTTTTTAAGGAATCTCTGTATTGATTTCCATAATGGTTGTATGAGTTTACATTCTCACCGACAATATAGAAGGGTCCTTTTTCACTGTAACCTTGCCAACACTTGTTACTACTTGATTTCTTGACGATTGCCATTCTTTCTGGCTAAAATGAAATCTTAATGTTTTAATTTGCATTTCTCTAATGACCAAAGGTGTTGAACATTTTTTTCCTATGCTCATTGGCCATTTGCACTTCTTCTAAGAAGTGTCTGTTCATTTCAGATGCCTATTTTTTGACTGAGTCTTTTATTTTGAGAGGCCTTAATTTTTTTTTTTTTTGAGTTTTTTATACTAGATATTAGTCCTCTGCCTGAGGAAGAGTGACAGAAATGTTTCCTGTTCCATAGGCTGTCTCTTCATTTCCTTGTTTCCTTTGCTATGCACAAGCTTTTTAGCTTGATACAATTCCGTTTGTTGATTCTTGCTGTTATTGTACAGTTTGAGTTTTGTTCAGAAAGTCCTTGCCTACAGTATGACTTTATAGTAGGTTGCTTTTCTGTTTTAATATTTAGATCCTTGATTCATTTGATTTTAGTTTACTACATGGTGAAAATATGGGTCTACCCTCAATATTCTATGCGTGGATAACCAGTTTTCCTAGCACCGTCTCCTAAAGGGGCTATCTTTCCTCCAATGTATATTTTTGACCCCTTTGTCAAAGGTCAAATAGCTAAATGTGTTAGGGGTTTCTTCTGCATCTTCTATTCTGTTCCACTGATCCACATGTCTGTTTTTGTGCTGGTGCCATGCCATTTTTATCACTGTCACTTTGTAGTATAACTTGAAGTCAGGTATGGTGCTACCTCTGGTTTTGCTCTTGGTAGCCCAACAGTGCTTTGCTACTTTGGGTTTCTTTTGATTCCATATGTATTTTAGGATTGTTTTGTCTAGTTCTGTGAGGAATCCTAGAGGTATTTTGATTGGAAATTGTGTTAAATCTATGTCAGTTTTAGAAGTATGGCTATTTTGACAGTATTTGTTCTTCCTATCCAGGAAGAAAGGATAGCTTTCCATTGTCTGATTTCCTCTTTAATCTTCTTTTTTCAGAGTACTATAGTTTTCATTGAAGATATCTTTCATTTCTTTGGTTAGGTGAATTCCTGGGTATTTAATTTTTCATGATTTTATTGTGAACGGTTCTAATTTCTCTCTCAGAGACTTCATTATTGACATACAGGAATACTACTGACTTTTGTATGTTGATTTTATATCTTGTTACTCTGACAAATTTGGTTATTAATTTTTGTGATCACATAACTTTCTACTTTTAAGGAGTTTGGACTTCATGTCAACAGTAGGGAGCCCTGGAAAGATTATAGAACAAGAAGAAACAGAATTTATATTTTAAATTTGTTTTACAAAGAGAATGCTCTGATGAGAGGCAGATGATGATGTCTACAGGGAAACAACAGAAGGAATTTTGTGGGCATTCCATGTATAAGACACTTTTCAGAAGTTTGACTTTTTTGCTGATTTGGGTAGAGAAAGATAAATGCACAGGCATTTAATTCTGAGTTTGATGTCATGGTCTAGTAGCCAGTGTATCTTCTAGCAAGAAACCTAACACTGTCTCGTCTTTCTCATCTGTCCAGCAGAGGTAACAGGTGCTTGTGCTTAGGGCTGAAGTAAATGTGACCTAAAATATTGCAGGTATGCGTGGAGCTCTTTAAACTGCTTAGCACATGCTAAATATTGTTTTCCTACATTTTTATCAGTTCAGTGACTTATTTTTGGTTTAATCTGTATGAATTTGCTTTTAAGACATTCTAGGATAATCTGATAGAGATTGTCCTTGTTAAGTTTTGCTTGCAGACTTTTACAGACATTTTCATCTCCTTTTCTGGTAGGAAATAGAGGGGTGAGCTCTGTAAATTAACATAGCTCCTTGCTTCTGAAGTAAAGTGTGAACAGAAAATTTTTTTACAGAACTCTGCTACATGGTGTCACTGTGGGTATTGGAGAACAAGGGGACTTTTTAGATAAGATCCAATGTTGAGAAAGATAGTCTTCTTATGGTACAACGTGATCCATTAATTCATAAACAGATGCTAAGATTCCAGGATGTGGTTTGAACTATATCAAAATACAAAGACAGAAACCCCTTCAGAAATCCCCCTGTAAAATTTTAATTACCTCCTGCACTCATTCCCTCTTTGTGAAGTAACTGTAAAATGACTGTACTTCGACCTTAAATTAAAACAATAATTTTATCTACAATAAATATAATAAAAATTATGTGCATTATATAGTTATCATAGCTGTTTTATTATATAAATTTATTCATTATATAAGTAACTGAAAGATTAACAGTCAGAACAAAGTCTAGTAAGAGGGGAGAGATTCTTTGTATTCCTGGTGCAGGGCTCACGTTGTGTTTCCTCACAGTGCTAGGGGTCCGGGAGACAGGCAGTTGGCGCCATTGGTTATAGGAAGAGTCTATAGAACTTAGGGTGAAAAACTAAATATCTTGAAAGGTTTTCCTTTTGAAGACCTGGGAAAGCAGCTCTTGACAGAGGGAAACTAATACATTCCTTCTGTAGATCTGAGGTGAACAAAGCTGTCCTTGACACTAAAGGATTTCATTGTGCCTAAAAGTGAACTCTTCATTGATGGAAGTGCCGCTTTTATTTGATCCATCAAGATTACCCAGGCCCATGTCACCATCCCTCGCTAAAATACAGCATCACGAAACCATGATTCAAGTTATAGAAGCCAATTCCTAAAGTGACAAAAGATTACAAATCCTGTATTTCCTTCTCTAGGTTCCTGGGAATTCAATTTCAATAGTGCTGAGTACTTTTGAAAGAATACCCATAAATTATTTAAATTATATTCCCCAAGTTTTCCCTTTGCTTCATGGCAAACCAATTTTGGACTAGTTCATAAATTAGACGAGTGTTTTTCTCAAACAAGATAATTTACTGAAAATATTTTTGCAATATTGTGATTGTGGTTAGAGTAATGAGCAAAGACCTCAGAATCAGCCGAGGAACGGGTAACTTGTGGTCCAGTCCCAGCCTGTCTTTGTCCAGTCTCCACTAAGGGACTATTAAGAGAACCAACTGAGTAAAGGTTTCTGAAGGTAATTAGAAAGATAAAAAACACTAAAACTGAGAAATGTAGTTGCCAAACATTCTGAGGGGTCTTAGAATAAATGGGAGTAAATGCTGATGGACTCTGTGGCTTCACATTCCAGGGAACAAGGGAAACTCTCAGTCGGCACTGCACTATCCTTGGGGATGCTCTTCGGAAGGAGAATGATTTTGCTCTTATAATTGATGGGAAGACCCTCAAGTACGCCTTAACCTTCGGAGTCCGACAGTACTTCATGGATTTAGCTTTGTCATGCAGAGCTGTCATTTGCTGCAGGTGAGTTCCCCTTGTTGTCAGGTTTCAGGATCAAAAGTGATCCTAAACTCTAGGTTTTTAAATGCTCCATGAAGCTGTCTGTCCAATGGATGTTGTATTTTTAATTCATTTACTCAAGACCTAAGGCTCACAAACTTGGATAGGATATGTGAGCAGAGTTTTTTTAATGAATCCTTAGGATCATTAGTACATATTGTTCATAATTTGAACCCACAGGTTTCTTGCCATTATCTGTATTTCAACTCCGTTATTGGGGTTGGTGGTGTTGCTCAGTGGGAGAGCGAGGTTAGCATGTGCAAGGCCCTAGGCTTGATCCCCAGCACCAAAAAAACAAAATCTGCTTTTGTTCTATCTTGAGTTATTTGTATAGGGATTTCACTTTACTTTCCGTACCTAAATCTTTGACCCCGGTGCTAGGAATCATTTTGGGGATGGCACGATAAGAGGTATAAACTGACACTTTTTCCAAGTAACTAGAAATTTTTCACAGAGGTATTTATTGACTATGCAGTCCTTTGCCCAGTGATTTATAATATTACCTGTATCCTACATTAAAATCTGCTTTGAGTTATCAAGTCCCAGTCTATAAAATTACATCTTGTAAACTGCTTAGCTCCAATCCTGCCTGAGTTTCTTGTTAAGGAATCTTTGCTGTCTCTTTATCTAAACTGTTTAAACTGTATCCTCCTAAAATCTAAAGTATGTTCATGATGATGCCCAGTCTCCTCCCTTCTGATCACCATGAGACCTAAGGATTTTCCTCTTTGTCGTCTGCTTATTGAATCTTACCAGCTGGTGAGACGGGGCCCAGGTTAGCACTTTCTCACGTTGCTTCTTTTTCCTGGGAGACAGTGTTGGCAGGCTTCGCTTCTGAAGAATTTTTCAGAATCTGTGCTTTTAACATGATCTTTTAAACTGTTCCATTTGCATGGTGCATTCCTGTAATCCTAGCCTTCTGAGAGGATGAGGCAGGAAGATCGCAAGTTGAAGCCCACCCTGGGCAACTTAGTAACTTAGTTAAACCTTGTCTCAAGACAAAAATTGGGGAAAAAGGGCTCAGGATGTGGCTGAGTGAAAGTCCTTGGTGTAATGGGGGGAGGGTGCTTTATTTTTTTAAAAGCTGCATTTACTGTTAAAAGAATGCTATGTTTTTAAAACCTGTTTTTGTCTGGACTTATTCACTCAAATATCCTATGTATGAGATTGTCTCTGAACTTATCCATACCTTGAAGGTATTTCCTAAATTTCATTTGATATATACTTCCTGAAATACAATTTAAACCATATTAAGTATTCTGTGTAAGCATTATTTTGACCTATAAAATTATACCATAGTGAGAGAATTAAGAGCTACCTATTACTCCTGAAAATCTAATTATTGTAGCCATTGAATCTGTTTTCTCCTCTGTAGCATATATTAATAAGTAATATTACTATAAAGCTCTTGGACACTATATCGTACAGATGTTTAATGTTAGTAACAGTCAAGCTCTTTGCTTAATCATGAAGAAAGACTTGGAAATGATTCCAGCTCTTCTCTTTGGGTATCCTTGTGCTTGTTAACATCTGCTTTAGGGTGACTTTTCTTCATTCCTTGCTAGTATCTTGACAAGGCCCTACTAATGTTCAGCTCTGACACTCTTCCATCAGGATAATTTTGTGCCAAATTTGGTCATTTAATCAGTTTCACTAATGGGTTCATAAGGATCAACAAAAGATTGCTCAAAAGCACATGAGTGTTACGACTGTCAGCTTCTTCTTGGAAGCAGAACAGAGAGCGGAAGGCGGCGCTGTGAGATAAGGCGGCCCGTTTGCCCGAGTGACCATCTGTGACGCACCGCCGCACGCTGGGCACAGATGAGGCACGGACAAAGATGAACACAACTGGCTACCTGCTCTCCCTCGCGTACATTTTTTTTTATCAGAATTGCAACTGGTTTGAAAGATGTGGGAGGCCAATTTCTCTGATGCAGTCACCGCAGCTGAGCTTCATTCTTAGAGCATTGCTTAACACAGTACTTCCCACCATTCTTCAAAAAGCTGAACCACAAAATTAAACAATAGCAGAAGGAGAAGAAAACTAGAAAGCAGAGTCAAGGAGGAAGAAATATGTTCTGTGCTTACAAAATTCCCCTCCGAGATCCTTGCCCTGGATACTCACAAGTCACGTGGATCTCAGGCAGGGCTCTTCCAGGCCCAGGGACCCTGGGAGGGACTCACACCCTGCCCTGCACATGCGGCTCAACGTTGAAACTGAGCTTATAAAGATGTGTGTGGCCCCTTCCTCCCTCGGTTCAGTTTTATGCATGTTTGAGGACCGTGAAAGGTCCCTCTGCAGACTCTGAGGCTTATTTAGAGTCTTAGGATTTGCTCTTTTTTTTTTTTAAGTAAAATATCTTTCCCCAGCTTTTTTCTTCTAATTACCTTCATACTTTCTTTTCCCACAAGGATTGTGGTTCGGCTTCCGGCCTGGCTTTGAGAATTGGTCTAAGCCCATAATTACGTGAGTGCCACTGCCAGATTCATGTCTGTGCACCTTCTTGGCCTCGTTCCTCTTGCGAACTGTTGGCGCAGACCATCTTGTCATTTCACTGCCTGACCTCCCTGTGTAATTTCCATGAGAATGCTTCCATCATGCGATAGGAAGAGGTGGGCAAGTCTGTGTATCATTCTTGGCAATTAAACCCCCGTGTCACTCCTGATTTCTCAAATGATTACAATCTTCCAGCCTCAGGAAATTCTCAATTTGACTCCATTATAAGATAGATGCTTCAGATAAATACTGAGTATTATTTCAAAATACAGTAGAGTTCTGTTTCCCAAATTCGTTTCTGCTCATGCTGCCTTTCAGAGGTTTTCTCTCAGATTTAAACTGCTCTCCAGGCTCTTGCTTGTCAGTCCGCACACTTGATGATAATTCAGAGTCAGATCTTCCTCTACCGTCTTCTGTGTGGCCACAGGCCAGAGTGGAAACAGCAGGGAAAGCATCCCCATGGTGGTAGTGAGTCTCCCCACGTTCATTCCATCTTCAGGATTACATCAGCCACTTTCCTCCCTGACATTATCAGCATCCAGGGATGGAGGCAGATTTTAGTGTTTGCCTAATTGACACAGTTATAAAGATGAGCTAGCTTGTTCCCTCAAGAGTCTCTGGCTGAATTCAAAGAAGCAGTTGTTCTCTCAGTCATCACGACGCCTTTCACCACCATTTTCTGAAGGGAATATTCAAGAGACAGAATTAATCCCCACCCCAGAATTATTCAGGGCTTTGGAGTCTTGGTTTTGGTTTACACAATGTAGGTGGCATGTTATACCTCAGATTTTTTAAAGAATATAATCTTTTTTATCAGTGTACCATGTACTGTGTGTTCACAGACGCTGTGTAGCTTTCGTTTTCACAGTCATGCATATTTACCTGCAAAACCTGTGTCAATGGGAAACGCATCTGGTTTGATGGTAGTTTCTGGTGAGTATTCTTGGGAACAAGCATAAGCAATCTTTTGAGGTGCTTCTTCCCTTTCCTTCCCACTGCTTGATTCTTACTTGATGTGATCACAGATACTCTCAAAGAACAAGTTAAAGGCCTGGGGCACCTCCCCCAGAATAAATACTCACACAAATTAACAGGCAGGATCATATGCACCATTTTAGGGCTTTTCGAGACCCCCTAAAACTCTTTGGACTGAATAAGGGGAAAAGAACCAGCTGCAGGACTCCTGGAAAATTGTAGGCACAGCTAAGATCAAGATCTATCCTGAGGTTCTAGGCAGATAATTTCTGACCTCAATTACCAATACCTTCTTGCTCTGAGCCCTTGCCTTTTTAACTGGGGATTCAGACAGTGCTTATTTTAGCTCTACCTCTCTGGCACTTTGGATACCTAACAAACTCTCTCTGGCCTTGGTTTTGTGACCTGTGAAATGAAGGGATCAGAATCTGGCAACAATAGCAGTCCTCCATGAACCTGGATTCCTTCAGCAGGTAAGAATGGAGCTGCTCTGACATAGAAAGACGGAGACACACACAAGGTCCTCCTCCTGGGGTGGCTCCTCCCAGCATGGAAGCATCTGGGTCAGAAGGCCTCCCATCACCCATGCAGTTTTTTGGCTGAACTCTACTTTGGCCACTCTGTAAGGCTAGGAAGGGCCTTTGCACTGCTTGGATCTGCTTAATCTGGGGAAGCAGCTGTTCTGCCTCTTTTAATATTCCCTTCAGAAGATTGGGAATGTTACAGTGAGATATTGCTGTGTGTTAAATGGTGTGTGGTTTCCAGGGTCCTCATCAGTTCACATAACCCAGCCTTTCAAAGAATTTTACATTTTTTCTGTAGTTGTCAGTTTAGTTTAAACATATTTGGAAACTTATGTTCTGTGACAGTTGGTTGAAAATTGGCTTAGAGCCTCCAGCTTTTAGACTGTCTAGTAATCACCGTTCTCCTACATAATTTATGTACTCATGTCTTCTGAAAAGGAGAAGTTAAATTGAAGTAAGCATTTTTCCCTACTTGCAACATCTCTAATCAAAGTTTAACCCCCTTCTAGGCCATTTTCCCCACAGTGTATAAGAAAAAAACCACTTGACTTCAGTGAGCATTGTCACTTGGGAGTGGCATTCCAGGCAGAACCTTTCACCTCACTCCAATCAAGGGGTCCTCCAAGAAGAGGTTCAGGGAAACACTGAATATTTCCTGTCGTCACATGAGTATGCTAAATAAAGGGTCAAGGCAGAGCTACTTCTTGAATCTTTTGGGATTGTCTTAGCCTTAAAGAGTCCTCCAAATAAATTTTGTATTCAGAAGGTAGTCATAAAGCACAAGTGAAGCTAATAAATGCTCAACAGACGTTCCTTTAAAGAAAAAAAGAAAAAAATTTGTGAACGCCATTGGATGCCAAGCAGATGTTTGGCTTTGAAGAGACTTACAAACTGTTAATGAATGTCAACCCTATGTTTGCTTCCAAGAAAACCTAAAGAAATGTTGGAAATGTTGAAAGAAGAATTCT